TGGGTGTTTTTCGCTTGTGGATTGTCGGTGTATTTGGCTTGTGGATGATCGGTGTATTTCGCTTGCGGATAGTGGGTGTTTTTCGCTTGTGGATTGTCGGTGTATTTGGCTTGTGGATGGTCCTTGTATTTCGCTTGCGGATGATCGGTCTTTTTCGCTTGTGGATGATCGGTGTATTTCGCTTGCGGATAGTGGGTGTTTTTCGCTTGTGGATTGTCGGTGTATTTGGCTTGTGGATGGTCCTTGTATTTCGCTTGCGGATGATCGGTCTTTTTCGCTTGTGGATGATCGGTGTATTTCGCTTGCGGATAGTGGGTGTTTTTCGCTTGTGGATTGTCGGTGTATTTGGCTTGTGGATGGTCCTTGTATTTCGCTTGCGGATGATCGGTCTTTTTCGCTTGTGGATGATCGGTGTATTTCGCTTGCGGATAGTGGGTGTTTTTCGCTTGTGGATTGTCGGTGTATTTGGCTTGTGGATGGTCCTTGTATTTCGCTTGCGGATGATCGGTCTTTTTCGCTTGTGGATGATCGGTGTATTTCGCTTGCGGATAGTGGGTGTTTTTCGCTTGTGGATTGTCGGTGTATTTGGCTTGTGGATGGTCCTTGTATTTCGCTTGCGGATGATCGGTCTTTTTCGCTTGTGGATGATCGGTGTATTTCGCTTGCGGATAGTGGGTGTTTTTCGCTTGTGGATTGTCGGTGTATTTGGCTTGTGGATGCTCCTTGTATTTCGCATGTGGATGGTCGGTGTATTTGGCTTGTGGATGGTCCTTGTATTTCGCTTGCGGATAATCGGTATTTTTCGCTTGTGGATGATCGGTGTATTTGGCTTGTGGTTGGTCGGTGTATTTGGCTTGTGGATGGTCCTTGTATTTCGCTTGCGGATAATCGGTATTTTTCGCTTGTGGATGATCGGTGTATTTGGCTTGTGGTTGGTCGGTGTATTTGGCTTGTGGATGGTCCTTGTATTTCGCTTGCGGATGATCGGTCTTTTTCGCTTGTGGATGATCGGTGTATTTCGCTTGCGGATAGTGGGTGTTTTTCGCTTGTGGATTGTCGGTGTATTTGACTTGTGGGTGGCCGGCGTATTTCGCTTGTGGATGCTCCTTGTATTTCGCATGTGGATTGTCGGTGTATTTGGCTTGTGGATGATCTGTGTATTTCGCTTGCGGATAATGGGTGTTTTTCGCTTGTGGATTGCCGGTGTATTTGGCTTGTGGTTGGTCGGTGTATTTGGCCTGTGGATGGTCCTTGTATTTCGCTTGCGGATAATCGGTATTTTTCGCATGCGGATTGTCGGTGTATTTGGCTTGTGGATGGTCGGTATGTGGATTGTCGGTGTATTTGGCTTGTGGATGATCTGTGTATTTCGCTTGCGGATAATGGGTGTTTTTCGCTTGTGGATTGTCGGTGTATTTGGCTTGTGGATGATCTGTGTATTTCGCTTGCGGATAATCCTTGTATTTCGCATGTGGATTGTCGGTGTATTTGGCTTGTGGATGCTCCTTGTATTTCGCATGTGGATGGTCGGTGTATTTGGCTTGTGGATGGTCCTTGTATTTCGGATGCGGATTGTCGGTGTATTTGGCTTGTGGTTTGTCGGTGTATTTGGCTTGAGGATGCTCCTTGTATTTCGCATGTGGATTGTCGGTGTATTTCGCTTGTGGATGGTCGGTGTATTTCGTTTGTGGATGGTCGGTGTAATTCGCTTGTAGATTGTGAGTGTTTTTCGCTTGTGGATGTACGGTGTATTTCGCTTGTGGGTGGTTGGTGTAATTCGCTTGTGGATTGTGAGTGATTTTCGCTTGCTGATGGTCGGTGTATTTCGCCTGCGAATGATCGGTGTATTTTGCTTGCGGTAGGTAATTGTAATTCGCTTGTGGATTGTGAGTGTAATTTGCCCGTTGATTGTATCAGTAATTCATCTGTGGGTTCCAGGTGTACTTCGTATATGACTGCCGAGTGTATGACGGGTGTGGATTGTGGGGGTGAATCGCTACTGGACTGTGGGGGTAAATCGCGTCTTGATTGTGAAGGTAAATCGCTTCTGGATTGGGGGGGTATGTCGCGTCTTGATTGTGAGTGTGAATCGCTGCCGGATTGTTGATGTAATTCGTCTCCGAATTGTTGCTGTAGTTCGTATGCAACTTGATTGCGTAGAGCACGTTGTTCGATTTTCACTTTGCGAGGATCTTCGATGTCTTTGTAATATGCTATCGACAAGCGTGCTTGCTCCTTTCGACCTTTTGCCATCAAGAAATACGGACTTTCGGGGAAGCGCGAGATTGGCAAGAGGGATGCAAAGGATGTTATTACAAGAAGCAGCAGCTGTGACTTGTACGTCAGCCAAATTGCTAGAGCGTAGCTTAGTAGTGTCCCGGAATTTACGTTCGCTGCCATTAGAGCACCTAGAGGTCCTCTGTATTTGATGTCGGCGATTTCTGACACGAACATGGGATTTATCGTGCGGGCAATACCAACGCCTATACCGAGAGTCACCCCAGCAAGGTATAGCTTTGGCACGGATGTTGCTTCGTAGACGATGAACCAGCCTATGGTGAACATTGTGCTGCATACAAGGAGACAGTATTTACGACCGTTGCGATCAGCCAACTGGACAGCCAGAAGTGAACCGATCATTGAACCAAGTACTGTCAAAGAAACGACCCATGAAGATTCGTCCTCTGTTAACATTAGCGGCACGTCGCCGCTTCCAGTTGTTAGGTGGCCAAGTGAAGTCTTTGTCCATCCATTGACTGTACCGACCAAGCCCATGGTTATCGTTGCTGGAATGAGAAATAGATAATGCTATATTTAACATATGTTAATTGTAGTGCGGTTGTTTTATAATTACACTGCGAATATTTACACAAATTTGTATTTTTAATATATACTACTAATTGTTAGGTAGATGAACATTACACTGAACATGTGATTGTGTATGCGTAAGTGTCAGAGGATGTCCAGGTCTCAGGCGAGATGAAAGACGATTGGTAACTGTTAGAAGAATCTAGAATGGTCTGTTGATAACAAGCGTGCGTGTAAGAAGTTTATCGACGTCTTCAGAGTGTAATATATATGTATAGCTGTCGTGTGTGAATAATGTAAATTATTTATTTTTCCGCATTCTCTGTATAGCTTAATATGGTAGCAGAGCGTGGTTACTAATTTTGCAAGCTATTTAGTGCGTGGGTTTTAGTCTTGCGAGTTAGTTCGGATGAGTTTAGTAAGGGAAGAAACGTTCAAAGGATATAAAATAAAAGAAAAAATACTTCGAGCACGTAGAAACGCTTGAGTAAAGAATAAAAAATCAATTAAAATGGGAAGATCGGAAATTATGATACCGATATTTGATGGTGAGGATTACGGGATGTGGAAGAAGAGAATAACAATGTTTCTGAGGTATAAATAATGTGATATTGTTATAACTAGACTGAAGAACGAAACAGACAATCCCGACTGGGAGAAAATGGATCTGAAGGCGATAAATATAATTTATAGTGCCATCTCAAATAGACAATTAGAATATATTAGGGAAGAAAAGACAGCGTATGAAATAATGAAAAAGTTCGACGAAATGTATTTGAGAAAATCGACGGCACTACAGATCGTGTGCAAAAGGAGATTGGAGAGGATAAGTCTCGATAAATACAGTGATTCAGCATCGTTCTTCAGCGATTTTGAAAACCTAATAAACGAATTAAAAAGTGCAGGAGCACAAGTAAGTGAGAGGGAAAAGCTGAATTACATGCTAAATACGTTACCCGAAGCTACATAGCTAGATATAATAGATGCAGTGAAAGAAGAGAATCAAACGGTAGCGTACGCGAGGAATAAAATAGAAATGGCGGAAAAGAAAAATACATCAAATCGAGGAGAAATGAAAACTAATGCCTTTGCTGCAAAAAAGGCAGGGTGTTTCAAATGTGGAAAAGTGGAACATTTTGCAAGAGAGTGTCAAAATGGCGTCCAAGCGAGAAGCACTAACAGTTATCGGCGTGGGTGAACACGGGGTCGCAACAGAGGAAGAGGAAACAAAGGCAATACGAGCAGGGGATGTGGAAACTTCCATCGTCAATCAGCAGCCGGCACGAGCGAGTATGGCAATTCAGGAGCAGGCACATGGATGGCAACGGTGCACGCAGCACACAGCAGCGAGATGAACGAGATAAATTATAACGAAATAACTACTAGATAACGGTTGTACCGATCACATAATTAATGATGTAAATTATTTTGACAAATCTATCGACCTTAAAAAACCGGTAAATATATATTTGGGCGTTAATAGATCGATAAAGGCAACAAAAGTAGGAAATGTTATAAGCTATTTTGAAGCATTTGGAAAGCGAAATAAAATAAATATGAATAAAGTTTTTTATGTGAAAGAAATGTCCGCAAACTTGATTAGTTTAGGCAAGTTAACGGATAATAATAACATGGTTATTTCAAAAGGAAATATTGCAAAAATAATAGATGAGAACAATAAGCTTTCAGCTGTAACGGACAAAGAAAATGGAGCATATAAAATGATGAGAATGGGACATATAGAATAAAAAGTATATTGAAAGGGAAGAAGCACTTAGTAAACAGCGCCGAACGTAGTGGTATGAGTAAAAAGGAAAGATGGCATAGGATGCTAGGACACGTAAATTTTAAATACTTAAATATTTTGAGTAAAGAGCAGCTAGTGACAGGTATTCCGAATAAATTTGAAAAGGAATTGTTGGAATGTAAGGTGTGTATAGAAAGTAAAATGCTTTCAAAAATAATCGGACTAAGGCTAGGGATATAATGAAAGGCTAAGGAAATAATGGAAATTATTCATACGGACGTATGTGGTCCCTTTAAGACTACCGGATTCAATGGAGAAAATTATTTCATTTCATTTATCGATGATTATAGTAAAATAGGTAGGATCTATTGTATAAAATCAAAAGATGAGGTGTTTGATTCTCTCGTACAGTTTGTAAATGAAGTTGAGAACCTAACGGGCAAGAGATTAAAAATATTGAGATGCGATAATGGAAGAGAATACTTAAACAATCGAATTTATAAATCTGTTAGGGACAAAGGTATCGTAATAAATAATTGTCCAACTTACGTACATGAATTAGACGGAACAGCGAAAAGATATAATAGAACAGTGATGGGCATGGCGCGTTGCTTGTTAGCGGAAGCGAAAGTACATAAAAAGTATTGGCCGGAAATAGCATGTACAGCGGCATACTTGAAAAATCGAATACTAGCAAACACTGTAGAGAGAAAGACAGATATGGAAATTCTGTTAGGATATAGCGATAAGAAGGCAGATATGGGAATTCTGTTAGGATATAGTGAAGTAGGTTACAGAGTCCTATTAGGTGGAAAAATAACAGTAGCTAGACATGTAGAGGTCATAGAAACAGACACAAAATGTATCGGTTTTGAGGAGAATTCATTCGATGCAGATAGCGATGATAGTAAAGATAATTATTTATTGGATATCATGAATAAGGAAGAGTTAGAAAGTAGAGAAGATGAAAATGATAGTAGTTCTGAAAGCTTAAAGATCCCTAGGAGATCTACAGTAATAAGAGAAATCCAGTAAGGTATCCAGAAAAGGAAAAGAGTAGTGAGATTCACGCAAATTATTGTAGAGTAGATATCCCTTGTACATTTGAGGAGGCGATTTGTTGTGAAAATAGTGAAGATTGGAAACAGGCTATGGATAAAGAAATAGAATGTCTCAATAAGAATAAAACATGGAAATTGGTAGAAAGGGTAAAAGGCAAAGAAGTATTAGATGTGAAATGGGTTTACACGAGAAAATCAGATGACAGGTATAAGGCTAGATTAGTGGTAAGAGGATTTCAACGAAGAAACGTAGTCGATGACATATATTCTCCAGTAGCGAGTAATCAGACCCTTAAGATATTGCTATCATATTGCTGCCAAAATGGATTAATCATTGAGCAAATGGATGTAGAAACTGCATTTTTAAATGGTGAGGTAAGCTCGGAGGTATATGTAAATCAACTAAAGGGATATGCAGACGGAACGAATAGAGTTTGTAAATTATCGAGAACGCTTTATGGGTTAAAAGAAAGTCCGAGGGATTGGTATGAGTGTTTTGATAGGTATGTGATGAGATTAGGTTTTAAGAAGAACAACTAAGAATTGTGCCTATATACTCATGGAGAGGGAGAAAATGTTGTTTATTTGCTAATATATGTAGACGATTTGTTAATCTGTAGTA